TGTGAGACAGGGCCGTCGAAACGAAATTCATATTGCTGCGTCGTTGGGCGTGGCTGCAAGAGTAACAAGCCGAAATGGGGGTCCGAGAAACTTACCCCGGGAATATTTTAAACCAGGGAACAAATTATTTGGGAGAGGAGTGGTGCTCAAAGGGGTGTTATTGCCCCGATCCGAGCTTGACGACCCAATCAAACCATAGAGCCTTCAATAACGTTGATATTAATTAGATGGTAATGAACCAATTTCATTTGGTGGTAATTAATGATCATAAATTAATTAACCGCCGTTAATTGATTAGCAGGGATTTTGTTCTGTTATTCTTTGTGTGTTTATGTTTGTTGCAATATCGAAAGCTGTCTTTAATTGGAATCGCGCTTTAATAATAAATTTGAAACTAATGTTTAAAAACCTTCTCTAATTTGGAATTTAGCACTCTACACATTGGCCTGTTCGAAGATGAACCATTGACCGCTGCTTTCCGGTCGAAATATCCCCCATATTACTTTGCATGACGTATGCACTTCTCCTATTCGCAGATATTTCACAATTTTACAAGTTGCAGCCAATTTAGACATGGCTGTCGAAACGGAATTCATATAAGGGTGGGGGCGGGGGTATGTGTTCGGCGGGGCCACAGCGTAGCAAAACAAGTGTGGGTCTACGAAGCTTGCCCCGGGAAAAGTTTAAACTAAGGAAAAAGCATTTTCAAAATATTGGGGAAAAATGTGATGCTGATTGGTTTGTGCGATACTAACAATTGGGTTTATTTTGTACCCCCCCCCCCCCATACACCCGCGCTGAACAGACCAGTAGATATCTATGGTCATTATTATCGTTCTATTTTTGTTCTATACAATCAAACTGTTATTATAAAGGTTGTTACAGTCACGGCCTTATAAAGAGCAATATATTAATAACACATACTTAAACATATTTATTATTAAAAATATTGGGTGAAACACCATCAGTGAATACGACATATTTAAACACGGTTATTATTAAAATATCAGTCAGTACGACATATTTAAACATACTTATTATTATAAAAAAAAAACCTGATAAAACGATAAACTCCCCCCACCACACCCCCGCCACTGGACTGAACAGTTAATAACCACTGACTGTGGTCCATATTATCATTCTATATAATTATAAAGATAATATACATGTGTAACAACAGCCTGTTACAGCCTTGACCTTTACGTACACATATATATATATAAATAAAAAATACGTCCCGGTAAAAAAATCTCCACTTTACTTCATTCTGACATTAAATCATATAAGCTAGCTGTCTGCCTTCAGATATTAATAAATATATACACCTATAATTAATTTTAATGTGTCAATAGCAGTACGAGTATATAAGCTACAATCTGATTCAAGTTATATACAACTGGTGAAGTACAAGAATATAGAACTACTGTAGTTACAAACTAATTAAAATTATGTCTCAGGAAAGAGAAAGAGAGGGAAACAGAGAATCTACGAGATTTTAGTTATCACCCAAACTTTTCTTACGCGCACAAATAAAAAAATATAATTCTTTTGTATAAATTTAATTTTACTGAACCTGATTACATTGCGGCGTAGTGATACATCATTTTTTGTTATCACACAAGCGATATCTACTGTAGAATGTGTTATTGGGTGATAAATTGGGTTTAACGCCCACTCAACACAAACTAGGTCATTTCGGGACTAAGTTTCAGAAACAGTAAGGAAACGTGTCTAACCATTCGGATTTCATTTCATTCCATTTCACTTAAATATACATTATGCAAGGTCTTTCTTTAGGCCTGTAACGTTATCTAAATTATTAATTAGACATTAATTAACTTATCCAGACCATAATCAACTCTCGATGTCATCGCTAGACTGCGATATTTACTGAATTATGATCCCATTTGTTGATAATTGAGACTATGTTTTTTTACCGTACCGACTTTAGTAATGATGACCGAGGCTAGGCCGAAATTTCAATCGCTTAATTCTCGGTTCAGAGTGAATCAATTTGACTGAAATTGTCAGCAAATTGCATTTATATTATCTAGTTTTTAACTATTATGGTGAGAACTGCCAGCTCTTTACAGGGGTGGATTGGGGCCGGAGCGGCCCCTTTTACTGCCCACGGAGCCAAGAGGGGGGATTCCCCCGGGAAAATTTAGAAAAATGAAACCCAAATATGCGATTTAGTGGTATATCTGATTATAATGGGAGGTCATTTCCCTCAATTTGAGACCATTCCCGACATCCCAATTCTGTAATTTCATCTTTGAAAATAACGAGTTAATAAAATTGTCAAGGAATGTTTAACACCAGCCTCAGGAAATCGTCTCGCACTCTTATTCAGCCAGCAGACCAGCTATCATCAAATTTTGCTGAGGCCTTAAAGTTGAATTTACGAACCACCGACAGACGTTTCTGGCTTATCCCCACAAACAGGGTGCAGATGACTTAATAATTAGTAAATTTGCGGGCGACAGTGTCGGGTGAATCCTACCCGGTCCAGAAAGTCTATTATACCAGCCCATTCTAGACTACAGTGATGGCGTGGTGGCCCGTTAAAGCCACCGGCTACATACAACATGACCATCATCGCTCCATGGCCGGTCTAATACCCTCCTCCCCCCATATAATGTTCAGCAGAAAAAGGTTTTTTTAGACGAATTGGACAAAATTATTTTTTTCACTTTTTGTCCGACCGGCCCTTCGGGCGATGGCCCAATCATCCAATCCGCCCCTGGCTCTATCTTATCTGCCATCATGTATCTTTAACTTTTCAATTGTATTACCTTTACTACGTGTTTTGTTAACTATACTACGCGTTTTGATTAAATTGTATGGTGACATAAAATAATTTACTAATTGGCGCGAGATCAAGTTCCATTTTATTATTGATGTTCACATGTCTGAGTGTTTAATGGCCGTAACATCCGGTCGGTTTCATGCAACATTCACCTAGAAAACATTTGTCATATCTTCTATTCACATCGCTTTGTGTCAAAACACATTTGTTCATGCCACGTTTGTGAAAGATTGGACATACCCTGCTCCTTTCACAACACACCCACAGATAAAATCGAAGCGATTGTGTGGACTTTGATTTCAAAAGCCGTCGCTACTGTAACCTCGGTGCCCGGGACCAAGAACAGTTTTTTAGCGTGCTAATAGTAAGTGAAATGAAATGAAATGGGGTTTAACGTCCTATTGTTCTGCTCCCATGCTGGGCTAATGAAGACAGGCATACACCATACAGTGTGCTATGAGGGAAATTTTGCCCGGGCAGCGGCACTATGGCCTACTCTTATATCGAATTCCAACTGCCAAGGGATCTTTTACGTGCATTCCAATGTATACACGTGACCTCGGTTTTTCGTCTCATCCGAAGGACTAGACAGCTGTCCTTGTCAGGCCCTCCGTCCTGCATCACTGGATGAACTTTCTCTGCCAATGCAGGGGTCGAACACCGGACCTCCTAGCTAGCGAGCCAGCGTCTTACCCACTTAGCCACGTGATTCCCCCTTCCCAATATGATTAAAACACAGATCCTATTTCGTTTCGTTTTTTATAGTTCGAAATTTCGATTTACTTGTCTTCACAACACTAGGATCTGGAAGAGTTGTTATATTACGGGCGTTTTGGTTGAAATGAGGAATTAGCCAATGAAACGGTCTGTTACGGCGAGTTCTTGGCGTGATCTGCACGGAACTGTGGGTAAACCCCTAAAAACGTCAACGCTGATGGTTAATCAATGTCTCACGTCATAGGGTCAAAAACCGCCGTATGACCCCTGATGCGACCTCTCAGTACAACTGGTCAGATCTTCATGTAGTGTAGGCCATCGAAAGTATAAAACACGAAACGAAATAAAGATCTGTATTTTAATCAGATTGTCTAATTCCCTGAGAACAAACATATTGTGTTGGTGACCGAATCTGGTTGAACTCGCAGTGGCGTGATTTAATTCTTATCACTGAATACTAGACACACAGTTGTTCTAACCTTCCACAAGACTCTAGACCTGAGACGGGATAGGCAAGGTAACGCAAGTTTATTTAACCCTTCACAATACGCGATAGACGAAGTTAAATCAGTTTCTCTGTAATTAAGACGTGATAGACAAGGAAAGATTCTAGGCTCGCAATGAATAAACAAGGTACAAGTAGTCAGTACAAGTAGTCAGGTTTTCTAATCCTCCGCAAGACTCGGGACGGGATAGACAATGTGAAGCCAGTTTCTCTTATCCTCCACAAGTGTTGAGACGGGATAGACAAGGTAAAGTCATTTACTCTAAGCCTCCGCAAGACTCAAACGGATAGACAAGTTAAAGTCATTTTCTCTAATCGTCCACAAGTTTTGAGACGGGATAGTCAAGGTAAAGCCAGTTTCTCAAATCCTCCACAAGACTCGAGACGGGACAGAGAAGGTAAAGCCAGTTTCTTTAATCCTTGAGACGGGATAGACAAGCTAAGGCCATTTTCTCTAATCATCTACAAGACTCAAACGGATAGACAAGGTAAAGTCATTTTCTCTAATATATCCTGTGCAAAACTCTAACGGATAGACTATTTAAAATCTCTAGCCCAACATGATACCCTGGACTCGAGACAGGATATTTACGGTAAAGTCGGTTTTCTTTATACTATTAATGTATAATGATTGTTCTCCAGTGATCGATCCGGGTGTTGGCCGAGACGCTTATTAAGTGTGTCGAAATCAACATCGTCTAGTCTTTCGGGTGTGACAAGAACCCCAGACCGATCCGGGTACCTGTTGGTCTGAATGTCAACGAACCCCTGATATTTGTAATTCGATTCAGGGTAGGCCCGATAACACACTGCATTGCGCATGCCCATGCATAGAAATAAACTAGAAATGAATCTACGTCAATGCGTAATCTGTGATACGTGACCTCGAACGTCTTCCTTCCATTGTTCGAACCACACGAAAGATAACCTTGCTACATCTAGGTTTGGTATTTTATTTGATTTATCATAGATGCATGTTGGGATGGTTTGGTGGTTTTATTTGATTTTACTGGTCCAAATCAGGGCACAGAATCTGGTGAAGAACGCAGAGCTTGAGTCTACAAGTTCTTGGGACTGTTGGGGGATACATTGTGAGGTGACTAACGATCATGCCTCGGGTCAACATGCTGTCAAGGTAACAGGAAGGTAAGTTCTATATATCAGTGCGTGGACCTACCTGAACCCTTTGAACCCTTTGTTACTTCCGGTGCGACGAAGTTGCTAATCGCCAAGTAATATAATTACATCGGAAGCTGTATAATGATCAAATAGTCTTGTTGGCAATAAATGCGACGGGACGTGTTAGAACTAGTGAGTATTGTGAGATGATAGCAGACAAAATGGCGGGTGATACATTTTGTTAATACTGTAATATATAGCCAAGCATTAGTAAGAAGTTTTATTGTAATCCCTCCAAGTGCCTGTGTTCCAAGTGGGCGATGCCCCCCCCCCTCTCTCTGTGCCTAAACTCTGATCTCTACGTAATTTATATCTAGGCAACAAGAATATGAAGGACCGTCACAGTTTATCAACGTCCAGCCCAGCAGTCACTATAGTGTAACTGGTATTGTTAAGATTTTAAATGACTATCCTGGAGAACTCGGCCAGAAAATTGGAATCGGTGTGGAATTTACATACACAGGTAGTTAATCAGCACCCAAGTTAGATACCGCCTTGACCCAAATGTACATGGAAACACGTGTGTTAAAAAAAGCAGTGCTCGCGAAGGTCGATAAGAATTATGTTTTGTAAACTCAACATAGATAAGGCCTTTAGATGGTTATGTAGACAGGTTCAGTGGAAACCTAGTTGAAATATCGTTTTGACTTCGATGTTCATGACTATATTATAATCATTCAGTCATTGAAAGACAATAACGATTGCAGAGTAAAATCAGTAGACCATGCTGTATATAGTCTCAAAATCTTGTATAGTTTCAATCAGGGGAATTATTAACGAAATCTTATACTAAAATATTCTCAGAAATATATACTTTCCATTTTGACGCGATTTGACTGTTTACCGAGACAAATCTGCCACGTCATCGCCGGGATATTTCACATTTCAGCGGTAAATTTACGAATCCTACGAATTAAGCATTTTAACATATGAGTGACAAATACCCTTTATTGATATTGTGTTGGGGAGATTTTCAGCCATAAATTTACGAATTAAGTATTTTTACATAAAGTGACAAATACCCTTTATTGATATTGTGTTGGGGATTTTTTTCAGACGGAAGAAAAGACTATCTTGGTGCGGCATCACTTCCACTCATCAACTCTCACAGCGGCTTCGTCCATTTAAAAGGAGATTTTGTTTCGCCTTCTAAACGTAAGCAATAATATTGTATGTATAGTCGGTATGTGTGATGGTAGCTTTTGACATAATCTGTATAACTGTATGTATGAATGAATGTATGTATGTATGTTCGCCCATCACACGTTGTCGCCGCGATCCACTCCACATAATTATGTGGTATCAAATTAACCAGCATGACTCCGTCAATGGTTTAGGTAATGATTCGGTTCAGTTTGGACCCCGGACGAATTTGGGCCCTGGGAGAAGGCACACGCTTCGTCGCCGTGAACCACATACATGTATGTGGTATCAAATTAACCATCATGACCCCATGAATGTTTTAGGCCATGGTTCGGTTCAATTTGAGCCCCGGGCGAAGCCGGCTATCCCGCTTGTAGTTAATATAAGTGCTGATTATAATATATATAACAAAGTAATCGGTACTAAAGTACCTGCGTGTGGTGGGGTCGTAAGGACCGCCGATTTTGCATGAGGAACAAGATCCCACGGGGGCACAAAAACAATACTTAATATGGGTGGGGGGTGAAATGAAATGGGGTTTAATGCCCTACTGTTCTGCTTCGACTGGACTAATGAAGACGGGCTTACGCCATACAGTGTGATATGAGGGACATTTTGCCCAGACAGCGGCGCTACAAACTACTCACATGTGTGTGTTATTGCCGAATCCCGAATCCGTTATTGGATATTCTGTATTCGAGAGAAAAACAGACCGGCCTACCTTGCATTCGACCGTTTTCACGCTACCTCGACCGTAGGGGTAAATGAACGTTGGGTGGCCGACTATCAAGGAAAGACGACCATTTTTCAAGCGAATAGCAGTCATCTCGCCGAATCCCGAATAAAGTCAACAATCTAGTCAACATCCTACTCATTGCTAGTCGGCCACCCAACGTTCATTTACCCCTACGGTCGAGGTAGCGAGGAAATGGTCGGATGGAAGGTATCAGTTTGTTTTACTGCAGAATCTAGAATCACTTGCTGGTGGCTCGTTATTAGTTATTTGAATCCCGAATCCCAAATAACGTACTCACTTGACAAACGGCTGTCTCCTTGCTAGTCGGCCACCCAACGGTCGGGGGTAACGAGGAAATGGTCGGATCCAAGGTAGGGCGGTCTGTTTTAGTGCCAATAATTAATCCCGAATAACGGGCTAGCATGTTTTTCGTTATTCGCCATTTGCGAATCCCTAATAACGAACTGGCACGTTATTCATTATTTAAATCCTGAATAAGTGCCATGAAACCCATGGAAACAAAGAGGTTTCGGAGTATGTGCGTCGGTTTCGGCCGAGTGTCCAACTACCTCGTTGACGTATATGATGAATCCCCTCGTTATTTCTATTCTAGCTCTAAAAGCTACTAGGATTTATTACAATGGACCGAAGCCATCGGTTAACTTTATAGTAGATGCCACGACAGTCAATCTTATACCAACCAATAATAACTGGAGAACTCAATCAGACCACACCATTAACACACTCAGAAAATCAAATATTAACTTTCAGTAAGTTAAAAAAAATGAAATTTTAAAGTCTAATGGATATTTGATGGAATCTAAAAGAATGTTAAAATATTATTTATTTAATTAATTGTGTTGCAAAGACCCGATTATAATTATTACTAATGTAAATCTGTTTATAAAACGAAATGGGGTTTAACGTCCCACTGCTCGGTTCCAACTCTACTAATGAAGACGGGCATACGCCATACAGTGTGCTATGAGGGAAATTTTGCCCGGACAGCGGCACTACGGCCTACTGTTGTATCGAATTCAAACTGTCAAGGGACTTTTACGTGCACGCCAATGTGTACACGGGACTTCGGTTTTTTGTCCCAGCTGTCCTTGTCAGGCCCTCTATCCTGCATTACTGACGAGGGGGGAACCACGCCGGAAAATCTGAATGAACTTTCTCGGCCAATGCATGGATCGAACACCCGACCTCCAGGCTAGCGAGCCAGCAGCTTACCCACTTAGCCACCGTGACCCCCAAAATCTGTTTATAGGCCTGCCGCCAAAATTTCTAGCGTTAAATTCCGCTACAACATCCTCCCAGCTAAACAAACTATACATTTTTGGAAAGCTTTTAACACCAGGAAAACAAATCCACAGAGTTCCAAGCAAACTGTATGCACGAACTCGATTTAGGGCCAGATGAAAATTGTGATAATTGTCAAGTAAATGCTATATTTATATTAACAATTGTGAAGTTGACATAAAATTAAATATTGGCAGAAACACCCGATGCCTTCATCCTTGGCAAAAAATAATGGATAAAGGAACATACGGTATTTTGGAAATCTTTTACGGTACAAGGAGTTATATCTCCATTTACGAAAGTTGAACAATTATACATTGTATGGAATATTTACAGGACGATTCTCACAATGTACTACCTTTACATTCCTCACACCGCTTTGAAACGACTTAGGTGCTTTGTAGAGTCCTTATGGCAGTATAAGCGCAGAGCTTTGAAATATGTTTAATCAAAGACTTTGTCCCACCATTGTCGATCCCCAAAGCCTTTATATACGTGTATGTAGATTATTAGCCCACTTATATGGTATTTTGATATATTTTTACACTTTACAGAATTCATGTAGATGGCGGAATAGATCCCAGTCAAGTTCAAATACAGGTACACAATATTAAAACCTACAATTAGGTGCATCAATTCTATTTTTAAAACACATCTAAAGACTCCATTCCTTGCATCATTATTAGAATATAAATTGTAATAAACTATAATGCTATAATGTTAGGTAATTTTTAGGTAATCTAATTACTTCAGTGGAATGTGGATTAGGTTTAGAGTTGTTTACTACTTGTTCATACTTATTTTACTCGCTTCATATTGTAATACGGAAATATACTCAGCCAGATTAAAAACTTGACACTGATGAATTTCAACAATTTTTTTTTTCTGGTAAGTCAAATAAATTTTAAAGTGTTTCTAACGATAGTAAGTAGTAAGAAGCCTTTAATTTCATAAAATTGTAAGCATATAATTTGAGCATATAAAGATGAAAAACCTGAAAAACTGGAACTATTGCCGACCGCCCAAGGGCGGGAGCGCCACGTGTGACGTCACTCCAGGAAGATCAAGCAATACGATTACGTCATCTTAGAAACAGATTTGTCACTGCAACCTCCACAAGTAGAGAGATGTTTGGTGGAAGGGTAACTGCACAAACTGTTCGAAATCGCTTGCAGGCTGCTGGTCTTCGAGCTCGGAGGCCCTATAATGGACCAATATTGACACCTCTTCATCGCCGTAACCGACTTGTATGGGCCACAAGACACATAAGATTTACTCAAAGACAGTGGAATTCGGTTGTCTTTAGTGACGAATCTCGATTCACTTTGAGATTTGCCGATGGCAGGGCCCAAGTGTACCGCAGACGAGGTGAACGTTACCCCCAAGTATGCGTCAGAGAAGTTGACCGATTTGGTGGCGGCAGCGTCATGGTTTGGGGTTCTTTTTGTGCACATGGACGTTCTCCTCTTGTTGTTGTCCAAGGGAACTTAAATGCTGTCCAGTACAGGGATCAGATTTTGCAACCTGTTCTTCTTCCGTTTATGCAGAGACATGGGCCTGGACTAACGTTTCAACAAGACAATGCTCGACCCCATACAGCAATTGCTAACCAGAATTTTTTAAGAAATGTCGGTGTCCAAGTCCTGGATTGGCCGTCGCTTAGCCCCGACCTTAATCCTATTGAACACATCTGGGACGAACTGGGTCGACGTGATCGTCAGCAAGTGAATCCACCACTGACGTTGCAGGACCTTCAACATGCTCTTGCTGAGCAGTGGCGACGTCCTCCTCGGGTAGTGTTTACTAATGTTCTGAGATCCATGAGAAGACGTTGTGTGGCAGTACGAGACGCTAGAGGAGGCCACAACCGTTACTAACACTTTATTCCGATTGTTCTCCAAGTCTGTGAATTTCATTTTGGAGGGTACTGTGACATCACGAACGTTATCAATGTCAAGGACTTTCGGCGAGACGTATTCTTGCTTTCTGTTGATGTCAAGGTCGTCTGTGCACAACATAACACCAAAATAGTTGCCTTAAACCAAATATTAAAAATCTAGTCCCAAAAATCCCGAGTGTCAAATTTTTAATTTGGCTGAGTATATTATATTACTATTTAGTACTTGTAGTAGTAGTAGTGTAGTATAGTAGGTTAGTAGATTTGCGTTATAGGCGTCGTTGTCATCTGGATCTCTGTTTCGAGATGGCAATATTAATGCCACGAGACAGTGAGGTATCTCTTTAGATCTTAACAAAAGGTTTTACCCATGTTTCGAAAATAAACCAGTTCCGTAATCTGTCAGTAATTTCCAACAGATCACACAGACCAAAAAGAGTTTTGCCTTTGGAACCGCTGTTGCCTGTGACGAGTATATGTATGGTCATCAACAGTATAAAGATTTCCTTAATAAACATTTTAATTGGGTGACCACCGAAGGTGCTTTAAAATGGCCAAGCATGGAAAGCACAAAGGTAATTTTAATGTTATTCTCCTTTACCAATTGTGAGACACACTGGGCTCAGTGCGTATGGCGCGGGCTAAAACAAAACGGGGGAGGAGTCCTAATTTCGTTTGATGAAGGACGTGATTTTTCGATCGCAAGGATCCGAAGACAATTTAGCTGAATGTAGCGATGTCATATGTTGCATCGATCATACGTTTGTTCTGTCTCGCGGGATCAACTCGATCCAGTTATTCCATTCGACGTGTGCCCATGGGAAGCTAGTTTCACGTTTGGGCATTGTCTTCACATTCTATAACAATCTGTATAGGAAAGTTTTATTCGTATGAAGAGGCTGTTGCCTGGCGTTACATTCATGATGCATATCATCGGTCCATTAAACACATTAAATAATAAAATACCAATATTAAAATCTGTATAGTAAAAGTTATATTCGAGTAACGAGAGAGAGAGAAGGGGGGGGGGGGTATTCGTATGAAGAGGCTGTTGCTTGGCGTTACAATCAGGATGAATATCATCGGTACATTAAACACACTAAATAATGCAATACCAATATTAAAATCTGTATAGGAAATAATAATACTAAATTATACTGACATTATGAATGTCATTAATACTGACTCCTCCTATAATTTCATCAAAATATCAATGTAATTGGACAAAGAATGCTATCGAAGCTTTTGTCATACATACATGCAAATTAAAAATGTCTTGCGTTAAAGATGAATATACAGTGACAAATACATGTAATTGTTCGATGCCTTTAATGGGTGATAAGTATGCAGTATGTCTAACTCGACCCTGCCCGCGACGTCACCAATGCAATGTATGCAGGCAAATGAAACATCTTGGGGATTTGTGGGAACATATCAGCATTGAAAAATCTAGACAAATTAAACATCATTATAAAGATAAATCATTACACCACTAATTCGTGTTGAATCTGGGCTAAAGGGGATAAATTAATTTTCTTGTGGCCGGGGAGGGTAGGTTGGCGAATAGTTAACGCGTGTGCGTTGGATCAGAACGTCTCATTGAGTCAAGTGGCATGGTTTCGATTCTCCGCTTGTACGTGACAAGGAGTAGGGCCACATGTCCAATCTCCGGTTTCCTCTCACAGCTAAACACCGCTACAGGCAAGCGAATTTTGAAATAAAATTGAACCATATGTGCGTCCCGTAATGGTCTAGTTTTGTCGAGTGGACGTTAAACTCCTCTCTCTCTATTAATTTTCTTCCTATGTTTGTTTCTAGGGTAACATTAAATACGATTTACCGGTCAATACAATCAAAGAGCTCAGAAAACACGGGTATGATTTTGTAATTTCTGAATACTTTTTTGTTCTTCTCATCTGGCAAATATACTTTTAGGTGAATAATTTGTTAATTCGCTTCATTTTGTTTCATTACTAATTAGTTTCTAAACATTTTTGTTATAATGTTCTGGGGATATTCCCCCTACCCCCCACCACCAGATCAATACATTTATGAAGACGTTTATCATTTTCTTTTTTATTATGTTACTGGATTCATCTCTCTGACATCACATCACCCCAGAGCAATATATTTGTGAATAAGTCTATCATTTAAATTACTGTTCATTTATGACATAATGTTACTGGAATTATTTCCCTTACACGTTGGATCAATAACTTTGTGAATAGCATAACTTTATCATTTTATTTTTCACAACCGATCATCTATGTCATAATGCTACTGGAGTTATTTCCCTTTCATCGCACCATCCCAGACTACTGACTGTGAAAAGGTTTATTATCTTCTACAGAATCAAAGTTCGTGCACATAATATAATATGGTCGGTGCCTACATTTATCCAGTCTTGGGTGAAAGCTCTGTCAGGCTCCGCACTCAGACAAGCTGTCAGTCAGAGAATAACTGGTGTCATGAGTAAAGTCAAGGGGCTGTAAGTAGACGTTGGTTTGTAATCTAATTTTAAGTTGTGCTTTTAGATTTAAGAATTGGTATTTTAGAAACGGTTCCATATTCAAGATGATTCGGATTCGATATCATTATTCTTTTATTATCACAGAATAGCCACACACAATTGTTCATGTCGGCTTTACAAAGACAAATTATAGAACAAGAAAGTATTTCATTTACATAATGAAACGGGATATCAAAGAGAGCATACTTGATAGAAGATATACATAAAGGTTTGTTATTCCGAGAAAATTACATATATCGATAATTAAACATGGATTAAGCAAGAGCTAAATCTGCCTATTACAAGTCTTTCTTTAGACTTTAAATGGTATATAAACTATTAATTAGGCATCTATTAACATGCCAAGACCATAATCGATCCCAGATGGCGTATGCCCGTCTTCATTACACTATAAACCCCAGAATGCCTCGTTCGGCATTTGTGTCCAAACGAGGCAAAAACATGTCAAAATTTTTGCCACGTTGTAACGAGGTAAAAAAAATGCCTCGTTTGTCTTGAGTTCCAAAACGTGGTTTTTTTTTGTTAAAATTGCCCTGTTTTTGGAACGAGGTATTTTGTTCAGAACGAGGCTGGGTAAAATTGCCTCGTATTGGAACTCCAGACAAACAAGGCATTTTGTTTACCTCGTTACAACGTAGTAAAATCTGGGCAAAAATTTTGACACGTTTTTGCCTCGTTTGGACAGAAATACGAAGCATTCCGAGGTTTATAGTGATTCTAATACGATCCGCGGTCAATACGAAAAATTGAACAAACAATGGTATGTCCCGGGCCCCCCACAAGGTTAATCCGGCACTGGTAAGAGGATACCGATGAAACACCCTTCATAAAAGGCTTCTAGTTATAAAAAAAATTAAAATGATCCAAATGTATCAATAATGAATTACACCAACCATATTCAAATATGTATCTATTTTATATTTACACATGTGTCCGCGTTAAGGGACATAAAAGGTCTGACTAATCATTTTAATAGTGCAAAGCAGTGAAGTGATACGATAGAAACCTTAAACTTAGACCCTCTTTCCTGTTATTCTCATACTGTTTTATAAACAATTAATTTGCGTTGTAATAAACTCATACCATAGCTAATATACTGACAATAGGGAATAATTTGTAAAGATACAAATATTGTTTAAACCATCTTATATCTCTATTTCTTGTCTATAAATTTAAAAAACTATGTCGCAACGACAATATTGCTACACGTCGTAACCCTAGGTTCCCACTCACTCGGCAAACCTCAGCCGATTCCAGTACCCTATGTCTCGCCTCGGCTGTATGACGAAGTCCGCCATTGGAACTACTTTCGAGTTCCCGGATTACCAACGGCGTTGCCCATGACGACACCTTTGTAAAATGCTTTAACCTACAAATGTTTCAATGTCGGAACCTTTTTTTCTATCATGTTTTTCCGATTTTCTTCAACCAAGTACATCCGATTTTCTTCAAACAAGTACAACTTTGCGCCGAAAATTCTACACACGCTTCGAATTTTGATAATTCCATTTTAAAAGCGGCAAGTTTTCCTAATAAGTAAACCGGTGCCGCATCGCAAATGTATAGGCGTAGGTACATATCACTTACCGTCATACAGCCGAGGCTAGATGTAGAGTAACGGAATCACCCGAGGTTTGCCGAATGGTTTGGATTGTTCGTACTTGGTTTTATTTTATTCATACTATCACGATTCGCGCCAGGAAAACGCGTTTCCGGCAGTCAAGTTTTCTTTGAGTCGGGGCTTACTCCTTCGTCTCTCGCAAACGACCGGCACCGTTATCAGTAACTCGAAATTTTTTCGGGCATTTCAGATTCTAACCCCTAACATTCATCGAGACCGTACGCCTATGAGCCTTTCAAAATGAAAACAAAATGTAATTATATAATTTTGGGTTTTTATCAGGATTTCACTTTACACGTTGAAGTATTATATCAAATTATATTCTTGCGGGAGAGGGGGGGGGGTGTTTAAAGTCCACTCGACACAAATTAGGTCATTTCGGGAATTACACATGGTTCAATTTTATTTCAATAATTCGCTTGCGCGTAGGGGTCTTTAGCAGTTGAAGAAAACGTAGAAAACCAACGAGGTGGGATAGGCGACACTACTCCTTGTCACGTCACGTACAACCGGGGAATCGAAACCACGTCAGTTGACTCAATGTCAGACCTCATGATACAGCGCGCACGTACTAACCATAACCCCCGGTGTTATAATTGAATAAAAAAATACTTACCACAAAGTTCGTATTGTTAGCAATAAATTTATAGACTGAACTAATAAATTAAGCTGTTCTCTGTTCATCTATATCCTGGTCGAATGCGAGGACGCAGTCGTTTAATGGGATGTGAGTAATCACCGGAATCATTTACATTCTCTAGAATTCACTTACAAAACCCGGAATTAACTTACAATCCCCGGAATTAACTTCGAAAATCTCCAATCCCTCCCATAAAACTATTTATTTTAAATGTATAATACATTATAATATAACGAATAACTATTTTGATATCCCCACAGGTCAGTAACAATTTAGTTGCATTTAAGAAGCCTCACTGCTTTGTACCCAAATCGGAGGTTCACGACAGATAACTAATGTGATTTTTGTAAACAAGAAACTAATTATGTATACTTTCGTTGTAATGTATTGTAATTAGTGATTGATTAATTGTTTATTAAAACAGTAATTATATGCATGAAACATATTATGGTATATATAGTGCAATAAACAATTCAATATTATAGCTATATTTATAATTGCAAATTGTATAATTGCAAAACTGCCCCCACTAACTTTCGGGCAATCTGATTTTTCGGGCAGACAGGTAAAGTGGAAGAAAGATTTTAATTTATCTAGTTGGCAAAATAAAGTGTCCGAAACACTAATTTTACTTTTCTTTTAATTGACTACCACGAATTTGTACTGCATTGAATATGGGGTAAAACGTTTTGAGAGACATGTTTCGGGTTTGCGGCTGTCAAATTTTCCAAATTTTTCTCGGGGAGTCCCTACAAGGTAAGCTCCACTCCTCCGCTCTCACAGAAGACCGGCGTCGTCGTCTGTAACCCGAAAATTTTTCGGGCACTTCGGGTTCTGCCCCCCTAACTGTCAACTAGCCTGTACGAGGAGAATTTATTTGCCGTTTGGTATTTTATGTTCAATACATATTGGACACAAGGAACTGCCAATAATATCCTTTATATAATGGGGGGTTGGATGGCTGAATGGTTAGCTTGCGCGCGCTGTATCATAAAGTCTGTCATTAGTCAACTGGCATGGTTTCGAATCCCCGGTTGTACGTGACAAGGAGTAGGGTCGCCTGTCCAAACTCGTGGGTTTTCCGGTTTCCATCCCACTGCTAAAGACCCCTACGCGCAAGCGAATTATTGAAATAAAATTAAAACCATATGTTTGTCCCGAAATGACCTAGTTTGTGTCGAGTGAACGTTAAACCCCATTTCTCTCTCCCCCCCCCCCCTTTATATAACAATACATTCCTATAATATCCAGATACTATGTTATATTATTATATTAAATCTCTGTTCTAAACTTAAAATCGTAAAATCTGGTGTGAATCTGTAGATACAATCATACACTATTATAGTTTAACACACCATGACAGGATACTGATAATGTTGTAGGTTTCCGTTATTTACATCAGTTGTTGTATAGGTTCTCAAGTGTTGTATTGCTTATAATATGAACATTCCTTCAATTGAGCTAAGACCCTGAACAAAGAAGTTACAGTATGCAATGGTGGTGGTGGGGGGGGGGCGTCACTGAAACATTTGCTCTGTACCATAGTGCGTTTCAGCGTCATTTGTAACAAGTGACCAGAAAGAACGAGACTAGAAATTGGCATTCGGTTGAGACTCATGCCGTATTTCGCTGGGCATAACTGAATTGAAATTAGAGTCAAAGCGGAATCAATTGAATGTAAATCAGTTTATATACAATCAGATTACATTATTATTATATGCGTTGAGGTCCATTTGGGTCAAATTCTAGGTCCCAAATATACTATTCCAAAAAAGTAGGGGATATTTGATTTTTAAGTGTTATTAAAGTCACCTAATGAAACTGAGGGAGAGGTCGGGACTCAGTGCTGGCCAAGGTAATGTGGTGATGTTCTGTTGTTGGAGGTAACCTGTAACGATCCTGGCCCTGTGACATCTTGCGTTGTCATCCTGGAAGATGAAACGGCGGCCATGACGTCGTGCGAACGGCACAACATGGACTGCCAAGATGTTGTCCCGGTAGTACTGGCCTGTAACACGCCCTGCAACAACATGTAAAGTCGTTCTTCCAGCAACAGTGATGCCTCCCCACACCATAACAGAACCACCCCCAAATCGATCATGTCTGATGACGTTAACGTCTTGGAAGCGCTCGTTTCGACGAGGCCACACCCTCCTACGTCTGTCCAAAAAATCAACAGTGAACCTTGACTCATCTGAAAACATCACATTGCTCCAGCGTCGATTATCCCAGTGTTGACGATCCCTACACCAACGACGTCTTGCCTGAATGTGATGATCTCTCAAACAAGGGATCACGCGAGGACGTCGGGCGCGAAGGTGACCCCTATGCAGTCGATTCCGAATCGTCTGGCCACTCACTCTCACACCAGTGTCTGTTTGAAGACGAGCGCTGATCTGATTTGCTGTGATGACACGATTTCTCAAGGCCAAGGTACGGATAAATCGATCCTGGGCTTGAGTTGTCGCCCTTGGTCGACCTGAGCGTGGTCTGTCCTGTACAGATCGTGTATCACGGTATCTGGACCATAGCCTGCTTATGACAGACTGAGAAACATTCATCGTCCGCGCCACAACCGCCTGTGTTGTGCCGATCTGTAGCATGCCAAGGGCACGTAATCTTTTCCCCCCTGGGGTGTAGGGGGTGATAAGAATATACCCTTCGTATTTCCTGCGTGTCGTAAGAGGCGACTAAAAG